GTCCTCATTCTTATAAGCAGAATGTATCTGAGATTTTGTCATTCTTATGAGTGGGCCTACTAGCGCTGTTATACAGGGGGATCTGATCCCCCTGTATAACAGCCCGGGTCCATCGCTTAAGTACTCCTTGGTCACTCGACTGTGAGCTTTCGGCTGAGTCGATACGTTCGATACCAACAGGGAACGCAAACTCTTCACTGAACAGGTAGACATGGATACCCCTGTGAGGATCAGAAAGGACAAATAGACTCACCCAGCAGATAAAGGGAAAATGGCTTGGATCCACTTCCATTTCTGGACAATTACTGATCGCCCTTGATCCGCGATTGCCCAATATCCGCCTCATGAGGTGATGCCACAGAGGTTCGGCACCATCACAATGCACCATCTTTCCGGCTACAGGTCTTTCAGTAAGAAATAGCGATGAGAAGGAGATCAGTGAACCAGTCAGTGTACAATTCGGCTCGATTCCTGAGTAGTCTGGCATGAAAGGAATAGACCTTGGAATGGACTGCTCACTTGGTTTGGAAGAGTAGTGATCAGGGAAAGTAGAGGACCATGTTTTTAGTACTGTGTTATTCTGGGATATGCTGCTAAGAGGCACAGAGCTCTCAGTGGAGTATGCCCCATGAGGGAGGTTGAGCCATGTGTTTTAGTCTTATCTCTTCCAGCTGAAGCTGTCTCCGAATGGCTGGAATGGCTACTTACTCGATGAGGGTACATACTGAATAATGAAGAACAGTTTCTATTTCGTAGTAGTTTTTGGTAACATTTCAGGCTAAGCTAATATCATCTTTTCAGATTCAATGAGGAACATACGTCATGTCATGCACAATGCAACGGGAGTCAACTGCCTTCTATTTGAGCTATCACCACCTCGACAAATCGCTCGGAGGTGCGGGGAGCCGTTTATACTAAGATCCTTTTCCAACCCTTCCTGTTGTGCCTGTTGCCGCTAGGAAAAAAAGAGTTTCATAAATATAGGTTTCCCATAATAATCGAAAAGGCATTCAGCAAAGGCCTTCCATCATTAGAAGACTTTTCTTGTCGTATTGGGGCACCGCTACGGCGGAACCATCTAGCCAGCTTGGATTTGCCCTTTGATACAGGACCCAAGGACTTCCCAGGCAAATAGATTTCGTATAGAATGTCTATATCGAACTTTGAGCTTCGTTGTATATCGGCTTCATCTGCTTTAGGGGGGAAGGAAAAGGAGCGGGGAGCGTCCATAAAACGATGGGGCGACGTTCGTCGTTAATATTTAACGGGATTCGAGATCGATGTAGTAGCTACAGTCAGCTGTCCCAGGCCACGCCCCCCACCCTCTGGGATTGGTCAGGGACGTGTTGCCCGCCCTTAATATTCGTTGGCATCATGTTGGCAATCAAACTCTCAGCCAATGAAATCTCACTTTTTAACGGTCTCCCTAAATCGTCTATCAGTTCCATCTGTTGTTTTTCATGGCTTTTTCATTAGGCAACGGGGTCTTGGGAAGGACCTACTGAATGGGACCCCCACTGACCGACTTTTCAAAGCTACAAGTTTTTCTGGGAACCTTGCACTTTTCATGGACCATTTCAACTGAAAATATTATGCTTTGCGTGCCTTTGAACTTATTGTAGCGGGGTTGCGTGCAACGGGCGTAATAGGAAAAGATAATGATGGAAACTCTCCCGGTCTACCTGATGGGCCACTATTTGACGAGTGGTCATCTATTCCAAACATCCTCCGATAATTCTAGGCTCACTAGGGGATCTTTTAATGCAAAATTGTTCGCAGTCAATCAGCTTTTGGAGCATTTTACTGGAGGAGGAGCTCCTCTAAGGGTGTTAGATCTCGGAAATCTCATTTCGTCACTTTTTGAAACCCTTCAACTGCACAAATTCTCCTTGAACAGTTTTCATATCAATATTTCGCTTCGAATTTGCAAAAATCGGAAATTTCCCTCATTTCAGATGTACGCCAGCAAACGCCGGCAGCGGAATTTCAAAAGGTGAGCGAACTGAGTGACGTACTTCATAGAAGATCCCATTCCGAACTGTCCTTGCGGTGATATTCGCTTTCTTTTGAATCGTTTGAGCACTCTCTAAAGTTGATTTACAGTAAAACATCAAGGTCCCTTCCCGGGTTTGGGTAAACGGATCTTGAACTGGTCAACAAACGATAAACTGTAAGGCAACGCTTCAAATCTGTCTCTACCCTGCAGTAAAGGTGCTGGTCGACAAGCAACTCTCAGAGACGTAAATCTGCACAATTCTCAGTTCCACCTTTTGTACCACCCAGTTAGCCCAGGCAATTTAGACAAACAAGTTTCCTCAATAGCCGTTGGACTATAAGACAGCTGGTCACTAAAAATTAGCCTCACAAGCATCCTTTCTGGGGGTTGTTCAGAACGGATGAATGATGAATCGCCTCTCCAAGTAGTCTTAGTGGGTTGTTCTCCTAATTATTGGCATACGGTAGGATGAGCGCAATTGAAGCTGGTTGAGTGGTGCCATTGTCGGCGAAAATTCTCTCCAGAAATAACAGAACGCTGCTAGAGAATCAACACACACACACACACCAACACTTCTCCGAAATAAATCTCAATAGGATACGGTAAGTGGTTGAGAATTCGTTGCGGGATAAACAACAAGAAAACGGTAGGTAAAGGGGGATAAATAAATAAAATCTGAACGATGGATCGCAAATTGGCACAAAAGAGAACGAACAGGAGAAGGAAGCCGCTGCTTCTGACTGGTGGGGTCTTCTGGATGATGGCGATGACTCTCTGAATGATGGTTGGCGTGCCGAGGGTCAGCGTCACGGCACATCTCGTGTCCAGCCAACAATGCACGCGACTCGGGCCACCTAGCCACATTTTCATCCTTCTAGTCATCCCAAGCCTTTTTCTGAGCACCACTTCGACCTCTCTCCTATCGTTTTCACATAATCATTGAAAAAAGGCCGGAAAAGACAATGAAAATCCATGTTATTCGCTCCGATATGGTCCGTGGACCATTCTGGAGCCATTTCCGTTCTGTTGTAATTTCATCTGCAACTTTTAAAAATCCTTACTCTCCTATTGATCCCCTATCTTCTTTGACTTCTGGAACAATGGGAGCCCATAATTCAAGCCTTTAGGATTCTAAACATGAAGAGAGGTAAAATACAAGTCGTCATACTCATTTTGTGGTCATTTGCGGATGTCTCAATGGGGTTTTGATGGGAATAACTACTGTAGATCATCGCCACCATAGCGAGTAATTATCATGCACTTTTACACCTCATTGCGTTCCCCACAAATTCATCTTCCCACCTGTTGACGTCCCCCAGTCTTAGGCATATCCATAATTCATTCGTTAAGTATCTTCTCATGGGGAAAACATCGCTCCAACTAGACAAAGTTGATCCTCAACAGAATAGTGGGGATCCCATAAGAGTGGGAGGGGGAGAAGGTCCGGGAGCAACTTCAATAGAAGTTGAGCACCAGCTCTGTTGAGACAACTGGTCATTTCTCTTTCTGTCACGGATTTGTTCAACAAAAATCTCGCTTTTGACGTCGTCACTAGTTTAACACTTGATTACAGTAATCCATAGGGTACTATATTTCTAGCAATAGTAACTATACCGTGATATTTGCGCGAACTTCTTCATTTTGTCTTTTTCTAATTACATCAACTGGGTTTCACCGTCCACTGAGGGAATATGGAGCGATTCTGGAACCTCATATTCCTCAAACCACCATCATCGTCTGTGTGAATGGAGTGCTGTGGGCTTGTTTCAGTCGTGAAAACCGTGCTGTACATTTGCCTTCTATAGAGTGAATCCTCACGTTTTCAGATACTTTCATAGCCTCTGGTATTAGATTTCGCTTTATTCATCTCAGAAACTGATTGTCATTTGCTTTACGGTTCCCAAAAGATGGCCCTGTCCCCCATCTGAAGAGCTAATTTAATGATTGGACATGTTCGATACTGAGTGGCCCAGAATCTAGTGCCATTTAGATGTCGTTATTTGCTGCTACTATGAAATCGTTGACGATCGCTGTGCAGATGTCGCAAGACTTCTGAAATATTCATCAGCGCCGTCGGCATGGAGACCACCGTATGACCGTCCAGATTTCCCGAACTGGTTCTTGGAAAACTCGTTCTGAGCGCCATTACAATCTATCCCTATCCGAGACCTCATCCATGACTGTCCCAATGAAATCTTTCAATGAGCGATTGGAAGCCCGTTGTAGGATCCCATTGCGAACGCGATAACCATGCAATTTGGGAGCACAGCTCACCTGCTCATCAAAAAACTCATCGATTCTATGCTATGATGGATTATTGGACCCCTTTGAGAAGATGATGGGGCGCTGAAAAAAGTTTCTCGATGGGAGTGTAGGGACCTCCTGTCCGTGGCCATCTCATATCTGCTAATTCAGAATTCTACACTACCCAAGAGACTGTATTTGACGTTACTGAACTAAGATTTTGTTGTAGAGGTTCTTCCACTGTTTTCCTCTCCCGTATACGAACTGAATCGCAAACATACTCGAAAAAACAACAGGTACATCAGGGAAATGGGAGCTCTAGCCCCATTTTCACTTCTACGAGAAACAGGAACTTTTTCGAAAAACACTAACCGAACTCGTCCTTTCGTAGGGATAATAAGTGCCGTTGGAATTTCGCAAACACTTTTCTCCTACAATACTTTTAAGGGGCAATGCTATCCTCCCAATATTAGCATAGCACTTACGGAAAAACATCAGATAAAGTTTTGAAATAAGAAAGAAGTAGCAGTAAGAAAGCGGCATTAATTTCCTGAGGCAGAGATAATGCTCAAAAGGAGCCTCGATAAGACATCATCCACATAGCACAACGTTAAGACAGTTGGTACAGGAAACATACCAGTAAAAGCTGTATGAGTTGCTTCTTTGTTTTCTTCGTTATCTCTGGAAATCGAAACGATCTTACTAGAATTAAGATTTCATGACCTTCCACCTAACTATATGTTTGGAAGGAAGGTTTTCAAGTCTCTCAGCCAGCCAAAGTAATCACAACGTCTTACAGAGTCAGAGATCCACCAAAGCCATCAACATCGACCAACCCATCGAAACGGCATCGAGAACGATTGAATGGCGAACTGGAAACAGTAGCCGGTCTCCTACCGTATGATGCGGCCACAATCAGTCGTCTGGATAAACTCAGTGTTCTTCGATTGGCCGTTAGCTTTCTTCAAGTCAAAGCACATTTTCATGGTTAGTCTTCGGTTTCCAAACTCTTTTTATGTTTGTTTGTTTGTTTGTTTATTACATCTCAAGCATGTGTGAAGCCAGTAGGTCACATTAAATAAGTATATGGTACAAAACGAGTTAGAAAACGATACAACAGGTATACATAAGACATATCTGGAAATGTGGATCTCCCAACTTCACAACTTGGAAATTTCTGGGTCGAATCTTGCATGGTTGAAGGCTTTCAGATGAATCAACCAAGCTTTCAGATCATTTAAGTTCGAACTAAAGTAAAAGATTCAATGACTCGATGAGAAATCCATTTTTACTGCATTCTTTTGCCACCATGACGAACTGAACGAAGGGGGAGGGGGGGGGGGGGGGGGGGGGGGCAACGGCCAATGCTACAGTACAAATTACAAGGGGCAAGCGACATAACATTCACTCCGTGAAAGAACCATAAAACCCCTTACAAATCTGGCTGGGCATTCACCTGAGCCACGGTTTCATCGCCAATAGGCTCGATACATGTAGGTGCTGCCGTTATCGAATACCATCTCAGAAAACTTGGTTAGAGAACTTAGAATCCGTCATGTATCACCAGATAAGTAAGCTAAAAGGCTCTTCCGATTCCACGTGGGTCATTCCACAGGTTGCCTTGTCCTTATACATAGTTTGCACTGTTATCGTAATCGTTGGAGTTTGTTTAGCGGTACTTTTTGTGTATTGTCAAGCACCGCATTGTGACATAATCCCTCCCGACTCTGTCACGTTTGGCAGCCTACATTCGCTGACGGCACACGCGAACAGATGTATCTCATCTAAACAAAGATTCTGTGAAGGGGGTCAGTTTTTGGATTTGACAGGTCATGCAGTATCAACATTGAAGGGTTTGACTTACTACCTCTGCTTTTGTTAAGCGTACGGTCGCTAGTAAAAACTCTCGGTCCCCTTCTACGTGGTATAATGCTGCGCAGTAGTAAGTCAGAGGTACAATCGGTCCTGAACGGAATTCTAATTCTCCTGTCCACTAATTTTGCTGTCAATATTTGCAAAATCGTTATAATAAAAGCGAGACCTCATCATTGAAAAATCAGTAGGAGCCCATATCTGACGCCCATATACGGTAGTGTGGTAGATGGCTGTCATTGATATGGGCATGGATCGACTTAATGGTTGCCCTCTACACCGCCACTTAACTGCTCCCAAGACAAACACAGCCATGTCACACCTTCTGACGTATGACGACTTCTCATGGTCACGGCTGCTCACGTTGGACCCTCCCTACCATGACTTCGAACAACATCTCGCGGGACCAAAGCGTAACATCCCTGGAATTCATTAATGATACCAAAGGAAAGTCACTTAATCAGCTACGAGAACTTGATCGAGGGAATATGTCTTGGACTAGAGCGCCTTCTCGAGGGTGGGAGTTAATAATTAATTGGATGAGATGTTCTGGCAACAGATGGCCCCAGCAGAGGCGACAGTACGACAGCATAGCTCTCGCGATGGTCAGAAATGACTAATTGTCCGAGAATTACGGCTGTACGAAAATTTATCGCCGAAATTCATCCCCATAACACGTGTTTCGCTGACCGTCGACTCTCCAAAGATGGAAGGGATTTACCGGGATGATGAGGAGCAGTGAGATGAAGATTTTGCTCTGAGTGGTAGACAACATCAACAACGATGATATTGAGTTAAGAATACTTTAATTCTGTCAGCGACCAAGAAACTATCGAGTCGATTCTTACCAGACACTCATTGGGATCAACCTAATTATTGATAATTCGCGGAACACCTCCATGCTGTATTGAGTGGCTCCTGTTTGCGCGAAGGCTGCAATGTTCAGGTTCATAACGTACGAGAACACAAGAATTCGGACTAACTCGAGGAAGTTCTGCAGATCTCCCAAGACATCTTCACCCTCCAATCACCAAACTGCAACTCAAACGTAGAACATCTTCCTCATGCATTTCCTGAAGGGGGCTGTTGCTTCCCAGGAGTCTCTGAAGTACTCAGGTTCTCAGGTTTACAAGAAAGGTTTTAAAAACGCTTCTCAGGTTTACAAGAAGTCAAGCTAGCAGTTCTTCAATTTCTGTTTTCTGTACTTCTGCAGAATGCAGTGTTAGATCCGATCAGAAGTCGAGGAGCGCCATGAAAACACTGGGAGTGGGAAACCAAGGACCGTTTGTCGTAGTTATCCCCACATCTCCATCTGAAGTTGTCCAAAATACTGTAGTAATTCGTCATTGACGCAAGAAGTTTCCTTGAACCATTTGAATTTCACCGAGATTATTAGATATGGTTGTGAAAGAGACATGGGTAGAAATCCGAACGATTCCTCTGAACACAGGCGATAAGTCGCCCAAAGAACATTTATTTAGAGGTCTTGCAGTTAGGGATTCTAGCGAAACGAGCAAACTCGTACCCTAGTTATGGCAAGATCGGATCTTGCAAATAGGGGTCCGTCTTAGGAACTGAGGGATGGAACTACCTTGGTTTCTGGACTACTTATTGACATAGCAATCTATGGATTTTTTGCGTCCGTTGCGGGTTATCCACAGTTTGAGTTGGAAATGCAAATGCAAACAGAGCAATACGAAAATGTATAGGATTTTTAAAAACACTTTTTTATTTGCAGATCTGAAATGAAAACAGTTATAGAAGATTTCAACTAATAGTACTGCCCTTTTCATTCAGCGTGCCTCAACTCATCACCTTTCATCTGCCAATTCCCCATGGCCACACATGCCTATGCATACTGTCCACAGTCGACAATATTTTCCGCTATACCTACCGTATACCACAGCCGAACGTCGCAGGCACTTATTGACCCGAATGAAGCCGATTTTGAAACGATTGCCCTGAAGGTACTTAAGTACTCAACTTGCGTTAAGCACTTCCTCGAATAACCTCTATGAATCAGTGCAACGAAGTTTTTCAGTCACTTGGAGGGTTCCTGTTGATAGTTAACGACAATGGCGAGATTTACTATGCCTCGGAGAACATTGAGAGCTTTCTTGGCTTCCATCAGGTAATCTCTTTCTGCTTCATCGCTGGCTTACCGCCAATTTTCAGGAACTTTCTTATGTTTTTGCTTTATCTCGTTGTCAGTAAAACTCTTGAAAGCGCAGTTCACGTTGAAAATGGTTAGAGAGATTTCTCCCTTCGAGTTACTGTGACCCCCAAGGAAAACCTGAGGACGCTGCCAGGTCGAAAAACGGCAGGATAGGGCGTAATAAGGTCCCCAAAACCGGTTTAGTCGACGTGCACACCTGAGTCGGACGAGTTCCTAAGCGTTGAAAACTGTAGAGATTGCAGCATTCGCCCCGGGACTCACACCTTGTACGCAGGCAGCTTACTGCAGCCAGCTGTATGTAGTGGCACGTACATTTGAACAGCTCGTCCAAGTGCAGTTTCCACGCAATTTCTATCGTCTCATTATCGTGCAACCCCTGATTTTAATTCATTTTTGAGGCCCTATGCTTCTCTCAATACGCCGATTTCCTCGGTTTCTTAGCCCATTTTGCACTGTTTTGGACAATCGCCTTCTAAATTACCGTGAACTGGGCCTTTAAGGGTGTGGATGACACCTATTGAGTGCCGTTGCCACAACATTAGTCAACGAATACTCCCACCATTACTGCAGAGCGATGTTCTCCATCAACCTCTTTACGATTTGATCCACTCTGAAGATCGTGATGATATCAGACAACAACTGAATTTGGCCTATTCCTTACCACCAGGCAGCACCAATCCACAAGATCTTTACGAGCAAGGTATGTATACTTTAAGTAGACCAGCCATTCCAGCATGAACACTTTTTCTTCAGAAAACTCGGAACATCTTGAACGAAACGTGAATGCTCGATTTCGATGCTTGCTCGACAACACCTGCGGATTTTTGGTGAGTTTTATACGGAATAAAGTCCAGGTCAACAGACCACATCCTTATAAGGATGTGTTAATGGCACCTCTACAGAATCGTTGCAAGACACTAGTCAACGAATACTCCCGTCCAGGAGCCTGAGCGCATTCGCGAGCCGCATCGCATTTTGTTTTACAACAAAATAAACAGATAAAGACAGACTACTTGGCCCCGGAATAACCTCGGTTAGTTGCGTTGCCTAGGCTGACCTGCACTCATCTACTCATCTGCTCTTCTGCTCTCGTCTTATTTCATATAGTGTGATGACTCCATCTTAGCATCCCACACACTTCCTGATAACAAAATGTGGGTGCTCAGGTGTGGCTTAGTGTTTAATTGTGAGCTCTCCGGGATCCACTATGCTTGGGGCATGAGTTGGCACTCCTGGCTCAAGGTCTTTTCTTCTTNTGCTACTGCTTTTTAACTTTTTTTGTATCCACTTGCTGTTGAATGTTCTTTTTCTCAATCTGTATTAGTAAATTTTGTTCATTGGCGCACGCGTTTGCAATAAATAAATAAATAAATAAAGTGGAGAGCGCAGCTATAAAAGGGATCTAGAGGTACAGAATATCGTAAGGAGATTGATAGGGAACACAACTCTGCAGTGATAATGGGAGAACTCCTTGATTAGTGTTGTGGCTGGTTTTGTATATGTGCCATTTATAATTAGGGACGGACGAGAACGTGACGACAGAAGTCGCATGGAAGGGTGAGCTGACCATATGGGTGGCCATCGCGTACAACTNTGCTACTGCTTTTTAACTTTTTTTGTATCCACTTGCTGTTGAATGTTCTTTTTCTCAATCTGTATTAGTAAATTTTGTTCATTGGCGCACGCGTTTGCAATAAATAAATAAATAAATAAAGTGGAGAGCGCAGCTATAAAAGGGATCTAGAGGTACAGAATATCGTAAGGAGATTGATAGGGAACACAACTCTGCAGTGATAATGGGAGAACTCCTTGATTAGTGTTGTGGCTGGTTTTGTATATGTGCCATTTACACCCTTGGAGGCACAGATCACAACATTTTTGGGGTATCCAGTTCTGGACAAACAGTGGAAGGGATAGTCCAGAATAGTGGAAAAGTGGCAAAGAATTCGTGAAATCGGCGTATTCAGAGAAATATAAGGCATTGAAAAAGGAAAATTAGGGACGGACGAGAACGTGACGACAGAAGTCGCATGGAAGGGGTATTTGGGTGAGCTGACCATATGGGTGGCCATCGCGTACAACTGGCCGTAGTAACCTGCCTGCGTACAACGTGTGCCTCCCGGTGCGAACGGTGCAACCTCTACAACTTTCACAACCCTTGAGAACTCGTCCGTTTTGGGTGTGTACGTAAGCTGACCCGGTTTTCGGGCCCTTTTTCGACCCGATGGCGTCCCTGATGCCATCCTTGTGGGAGATTCATTCAAAGGAGGAATCTCGGTAGCCATCTTCTTCTATTTATAATGTACTTCCGATCAGACACCATCAAGAACAAGCAGGACCTGTTGAGGGATATCAATTATTAAGTAAATGACAGAGAAACCGCAAATTAATGAAGAGCGCGAGTGGTCAAGGGTGTAAAACAAAAATAGCACATTCATGGTCGAGAGATCAAAGCCTACCGGATTTACGCAATTCCAGCGGATAGACATGCGAGGAAAGCTGCTCTCTTTGCACGGATTGCCATCGTCGTATGTTCTCGGAAGGAGCAATCCAGGACCGGTAATGGGAATGATCGCTGTTTGCACGTAAGTTATTCTTGGGAAAGCCATAACTACAACTTCGACAGCTTCTTTTACAGGCCGTTCGTCCCTCCCTCGTCTGCAGATGTGCTTGCAGAAGATCAGATTCTGAAGACGAAACATCAGCTCGATGGCACACTGGTGTCAATGGACGACAAGTTTGTCTATAACCATAAATCAGTAAAAAAATTACTTTGATACGCTTCATTCCAGGGTACATGCCATGTTAGAACTGAGTGAGAGCGAGCTGCCAATCTCCTTTTACAGCCTTGTGAACGTTGAAGATGCCGTATGTTTAGCTGAAGCTCACAAAGAAGGTTAATACAATAATTTTTATCTTCTAAAAACCCTACGGTTTTGTCTCCAATTGCACAGACTCGTACATGGGGCTAAGAGCGTATCTGACGAAAGTAAAACAAGTCATACGTAATCAAAAGAATGTGCAAAGAAAGCAGGAGACACTATCGACGAAAACGTTCCTCATGCTTTATCTGTCTGCTCATGTCATCGCCACTGGCACATTCAAAGGCACAGTTCAAGGTAGAAATGGTGTCTGAGATTTCCATGCATGATAAACCTGTGATCCGAAAGGAGCACGAGGGACATTGTCGGTTCAAAAGACGACCTAGATGGGGCCTAATAGGGCCCCAAAACCGGTACACATCTAGGGCGGACGGATGAGTTCTCGTGACGTTGTAGAGCCTTTAGAGGTTGCACCACTCGCACCGGGGAGCACACGTTGCGCGAAGGCAGCTTAGTGTAGCCAGCTGTGCGCAGTGGCACACACTTTTGTACAATTCGTCCGAATACCCTTTTATCGTCGCAAACTCGTCCAGCCCATGATTTCACTAGTTTTTTGAAGCTAATCCTTCTCTAAATACACCGATGTTCGCGTTTTCATCGCCAGTTTCGTACTCTGACAATCACCTCCCTTATTCGTGCGAAGCTAGATGGATATTACAGAATTATCGTAGATGGTACTTCAAGCATTTGGCTCAGGTGGCAAAGGCAGCCTATTAGTTGACCTTTCTTTGACACCATCACTCCAACATCCCTGAAAATTTGTACTTCTACCTGAATGCTCGTAGTAAGCTCCCGGCAAAATCAAAGTGTTAGGCAGGGGTTGTGTCATACTTCTGAATTCCATTGTACATTGATACCTATTGAGTTGGTATAGTCCTCATTGTAAATCTATGAATCAATCAATGTCTGTCTATCCCTGTCTTGTCCCCAAAGGCTAGGGGTGTGCTGCATTAGGAACGAAATGGTCGCGTCGCGGTGAGAGGGGCGTCGCGCGCGAAGGAATGTAGCAGGATGCAGCAATAGGTAAGAAATACAAGAACAAAAGTCTAATAGTAGAATTATGCATAAAATAATGATCGCATATCGATTGAGCTGTATGGAGAACCCTAGTGCTGTAATAACGGCGATGAGTGGTCCGCGACGGCCGCGTGCGGCAATTCGATTACCCAAAATCGTTCCTATCGCCCGTCTCCCCTAAGCTGGTCAACGCGCCTTTAGCCGATTGCAGGTAGTGTTTACAGATCTCAACGGCTGCTATATTAATTACCGAGAGACATTCTTAGCACACCGACAACGGCCTAGCTCAAAATCATGCCGTAGACAAAATATCTTCGCGTTCTACATGTTCAAATGCAGCCGCACTTTCGCTTTTCGGCTTACGAAGAGAATTGCAGCGTATGCCTGCTCCGATTCATGGGTCACTAATATTCAATGCATTACTTTTCTAAGAAAGTTCTCACTACGTCTGCATTTTTCCGAGCGAAAATCTGACCATTTAACTTCATCCTTCTTACCAACATTACCTTCAGCTGCTCTTCGAACTACCAGGAAAATGGAGAACACTTTCTGTATTGTTTTTTCTTCGACAATAATCATGAACTTTCCAGTTATAAAGAATGGCTCCAGCGGCTTGTTGATTTACCGACTAGTGAGTACAAAGTCGAACCGGACGTATTTCGTCCAGAGCAGCTGCCGCATGTTCTACAAGAACGGAAAGCCTGAATCAATAGGGCTCACCCATCGACTTCTGAAGTTAGTTCCTGACTCCTCAATGGGTTCAAGAATTCTATTATTCTCATGATCAGCTGGAAAAGGAGTGGAGACATATTCTCAGTAGGTCGATTTCAGCGAAGTCGAAGGCACAATGCTTTTGGAGAAGCGGTCATCTTTGAAGGCAAAGTTACTGTCTTTTGACGATTCCTTTCTGCAGTCACCTCGGAACCTGCAATCAACGGCCGCTCTCCCATTGCCGCCACCCAGAGATGAGACCGACGTCGAGAGGTATGTAATAAAACCGGAATGATGTCCGTTAGTACTTTCTCGTTCACTCAGAGAATCAGTTCATTCTTACTGAATAGCTCAGGAACGTTGACAATTTCAGTCCATTTCCCACTCCACTGCCAATAGCTCCTGGGCCACGAACGTTAAAGAACAACGAGTTCCCTCTATTTCCGCCTTCTCTCGTCACTAAGATGGATCACTGGACTTTACTGCAACCGGTTAGTTTTTCGGGTACATCGAGAAAGAAATTCAACTCAACGAACCTCCATCAGAAGGAGCTCATTAACGCATCCCACCGAAAAATCAAATTCCCAAGTCTTCTGACATCTTTTCAAAATTTTTAGCTTTTTGACTTCACTTACCTGCTACTAGTTATCTAGCATATGTAATTACAGCCTCTGCAAGAATTCAGCTTACAGCTACCACCCACACTTCAAGGCGACATGCCACCATGGACGCCCGATCCGTGGGCCGGAGAGCTTTATCCTCACTATCACAGCCCCTGTAGGTTTCTCTAAGCGTCTTTCACATTTACTTGAAAAAAACTTAGTTTTCACACCTTCACCATTTCAAGTTCCTACAATTTCAGTGAACTACCAAGCTGCGATCCCACAACTACCTCGACCATCCTATCACGACCTGACAAACTCGGAATGCCAACAGTGGCATAATCCCACCGGTAAGCAAAACTTCACACAGTGGAAAATTAATGTTCCTCGTACCAACACAACAGTTAACATTTTTCACCATTCAGGTCATTCACACATGAATCATAACGTCAATCTTACGAACATGGAAGACACCTCTCAGTTCTTTGTTAAAGATCTCTCTCATGGCTACCCGCTTACTATGGATTATAATAAGGTACACATTTCAATCTTCACTTCATTGCGGTGCACTTTAGACTATTCTATTGAAATACTTGAATTACAGGTTCCGATCGAATATCCCATGAATACCGTTCTTCCGCCGCAGGCTAACGGTTTCCAGTTTATCTCAGAAGTTACCAACACATTGCTCGGACAGTAACTTACGGGTTCCGTCAGGACACTAAAGAGGCGCAGCCACTGCAATCAACTTTTTGAGCAGCTAAATCACAGTGGCTTAGAGGGCACAGTCCTACGTCTGGCTGAACAACGTCAATATAACGTGTGATATTTGTTCTAAATGTGATACTGAAGAAGTATAACTTCACTAAATAATTTTTCATGTGATATTCAGTGGATTTTCCTGCGTTTTTTCATCTTCATGAAGAAAAAAGGACACAAGACAGACTACATTTCCTTTTAGCTTCCAAACGAACTAGTTTCAACTTCCAAACTAGACGCCTAACAGAGCTCATGAAATTGTTTAAACTATGACTTCTGTAACTTCAACAGGTCTTGTGTAGGTGGGCTGGGTGCTTGCCATACGAGATCATGCTGTTTTCTACAAGCACCGCGGTGGTGAGATGATCATCCCATTGACTTTTTTCTAACCATATGTACTAGCGTTAGGTGCTTTCGTACTAGCCCTGCTGAGAGAGCACAAGGTACCCTATCTTTTTTGCTTTAAACTCTTAGTGTTAGAGACGAGGGTTGCTCCACGCCCCACTATGGTTTCGCCTAATCCCCACACCCCTATTACTCCCCTATTACTCAGAGTGGGATTAACACCTGTGAGACTTTCTTGCAAGTGGTCCCATCCCCTCGAACCTAATGGTTTTATCCTACCGCCTTGCGATTTGCCTTTCGGTCTTTTATGCGTAATTTCAAGTGATAATTTTCATTAGCCCTCATCTCGTGTTCTGCACGATACGAATCCTTATGGACAGTAGCACGAAGTATCAACAAATGTGATCCGTAGCTGAGATGATGCAACATTGCACCGAAGTAATGACTCGTGAATCGATACGCGGGTCCCAACTGGCACTCGTGCACTGACATGGTTACTGTGTATGGATACGTCAGCCTGAAATTGTTGCTACCGCCAAATACTCCCTAATAGTGCTCCTTCCTTCACAAAGTCAATTCCATCGCAGACCTATTTCAATGGTAGCCCCTCCCACCCACATTTTCACTCGTGTTGCTTTCACACAATACATATTCAAGAACTAACTGAGTAGTGGTGGGTGTGCTGAGAAAATTCTGATTCTAGTGTTTATGATTGTACCACCTACCACTTTTCAAAGAACAGCCACCACCGCTGGATCACTGAAGAAAATAGATAATAGAGAGATCGAAACTCGTACCTGAACCCTCGCAGAACTGGCTCGACAGACAACGGGCGGTATGCATCACGCTCGGGGAAGGAAGGAAGATAATCTTTATATGGTGCGGGAGCGTTCGAATGGCAGTTGACTTGGATTCTGCGATCTTACCGAGAGTTCAGAGAGAAGCGACTGCTATGGTAGCCTCCTTCTTGAGGGCGAAATTGGAGAAATCTCCTGTCGGTTCGCCGATGGTTATATAAGCCGTTACTCACCGCCTTATTCGTCTGTGAATAGGCAAAAGCGTTTCCTCAAGGGAACATTGCCAACACCCATCTACCGGATCTGACACTGCCAAATAGGGTTTCCTGTGTAATATATATCTTTGCTATTGATAATAAACCTTTGCTTGATAAGAAGCATACCATGGAGCCATAGAATTCGAAAAAAAAGCATTTATTTGAACATAAAAGTCACTATTTGGATTTGGCTATTGACATTCGGATGAGAGAGTTATAACTACACTCTATCTAGTAAAGATTTCTATAGTTTTAGAGCTATAAGAACTATGCAGTGTGACATTACCATATTTCTTTCCAATAGGGTTTCAGTTATATACCCCGAGGTATTATGTATAGCTAATATTTGTACTCTATTTGAAAGTTTTACTACTAACATTAAAGAAATGAAAAGAACAGGACTGAACCATGGCTACTCTAATGCATTCGTTATGATTTGTTTCACTATTACTAAGAATATTTGTCATAATAAAATGCTATAAATACGATATTCGCGATAAATATGTAAAAATCAAAGAAGCTGTGGGAAGGAGTCTTATGCATAGTCCGAACTTTACAGTTTGGATATTACAATCATTTCGTATACTCAGCGTTATCGTAATTTCATTTTCTCCGGCTTATTCCTCCTTGTGAATATGTATAGAATGTAACCACAATGTAAAGTTGTAAACATACATCTATTGTTGCGTATCATTATTCGATTTGTTATACTATCTACTGCATATCTGCTTATTACCTCTTGTTTCCCACAACTCAAATTTCGCAACTACCAAAACCGATTTCCCGCGCGCGAAGCTGCCGGCCAGAGCCCTCTCTTGATCTAAGTTTACATGGATATCTTGCTCTTTTGTACTCGGCCTATCTCTGTAATCTCCACTTTCCCAGGGCCACCGATATAAATACCGGTCACATCTCCTAGAGTGACTTTTGGATCTATCTATTTTGTCAGAGGATTCTGCTGATCAATCGCCCACTTCTATTCTGCTACTTACCGAAGAAGATTAAAGTGTGAGTCACTATTCTCTACCGAGCCATAAAGAGGGACCTTGTCTCTAGACTTCTAAAAAGGGGATCCCAGACGGAAACCGAAAAGGGGCAAAGGCACCGCAAACCTTTTACATTCTGAAATTACTGATTGGCCGTTATTAAACACTGTCCGGCGGCTTATCCTATTTAGTTTGAGACGTAAGTATGTTTATGTACTTGTAATCCTACTTGTACAATAAGTGGTGTTAGCGTCGGTGTTAGCGAAGGAGGTGTGTAACGCGCTCTAATTTCACTATTTTGAATACTTTTCGACTAAGTATCGAACATATCCTTTTGCAGTGGCACAATTCTCTAAGCTTTCTTAGGTATTTCTGACGCCTTTTCTAATTGGTATTTTTTGTGTTTTCGAACCAATACACCATTACTATTTTGTCTCCAATATTTCTGACTTTCTTCCTAGTGGACAGGTTTTGACGCTGAAATCAAACGTTTTTTGCCATCCCTCATTCACCGATAAGCCTCGAGGTTGCAAAAAACGGCGTAGTTTGTATGAGTGATAAAGGCGAAGCGAACCACCAAGTGAACTCCTACCATTCTTCGTCTTTAAATAATCATTTTTCCTTCCTAACTGAACTGCTTGGCCTTGTCTTCCATCTTCAGTCATTTTCCTCTCGTCACTTCGATCGTTAACACTCACACTGGAAAGACCAAATCCGTGCTGGAGAACTCGCGACTTGTACTCTTCTGAGTGCCGAGATAGCAGTATATGCGTGCAAAAAGTATTATGTCTGGAAGATCACGACAGGAAAGCTACTGTCTGAAAATATCCAATGGAGACACTATGTTTATACCTCTAGCTTCCCACAATATAATAATATGATCAAAAAGCTTGAACAATAAAGTATTCTTTTCCGTTGTGTAATGTCACATGAAAGGATAAGAATATGTTTCTCTTCAGGACATTCATTTACGGATCTATTTATAGATTCATTTAATTCAACTTTGTTCATAGGAAACAAATCCGTCAGCAGTAGTTTATTTCTTCATTCATTACACTCATAAGAGTGCGCCCGGATGTGGCAGATAAGTTCAGATAAGGAGATGGAGCACATGTGTTCCCGAGAACTCCTTCCACGAAGTGAACGCGAACGCAGAGTTGGATACGCAGTGGCTGCCGCGCTGAAGAGCTGTTTCTGCAGAACAAATTACCTGAGATGGAAAAGAATGGAAAAATAGCTAGCCGTGGACAAGTACCAACCGTATGGTTGGTACTTCCCCACGGTTCTTCACTGGATGTCGCCCATTTTCCGCTTACCAACTGTATATTACTTTACGGGAACTATGGTAGTGTTCCATTTTGCATTGCGTGTAGAAGACACTGCAGTTTCTGCTGCAAAAGGCATCTACCTATCCATCATGGAATTGTGAAAGAGAACAATGTTCATCATGGAATTTCAGGAAAGAATAGTAGCGAGCTCAACGAGGTAAGTAGCACTGTGTTTCCAGCCGAATCTATGAAAAATGTAATTATTTTTAGGTGTATGAGCAGATTGGTAGAGCAATATTTGTGAGAATGAAGGGTCCATCGGTGAATTTGGCAAAAATTCCACAGTCCCAAAGTCGAGAGGAGTGGCTGATATATAGTGAGTTCTTCTCGCAACTGCAGGAATGTGGTATTCCGCTACTCAATGACGAAAACGATGGACACAGTTGAACTGAAAAAGCTTACTTTCCATCGACTAAAGCTTGTGTATCTTAACAGCAAGAGCTTCCAACATCACCACAACTCGAGAAATCAAACGTAAAACCTGCAGAAGAATGATCAGTTCATGTAGTTGAAGAAGGACCAGAACAAGGTATCGAGCAGACATGCGTAATCCATGCACGCAACAAGGCCAGATTTCAAAGATTCTGGTTAACAGATGGTAAAGTTTCCACGATGTGTTATTTGGGGCGAAGACTTCTAACAAACATCAATATCACCAACACATCATGCACCATAAGAAGAGCTAAGATAATTAGTGCATCGCCGCTGACATAGATGATGACCCGAATATCGAGGTAAGTTCTTAGAGAGCTCATGGGCAGACATGAGCCATGGAACGACTTTAACTGGCAAGAAATTGAGGTTGTTTGACCACGTGTTCACGAATGGATCTAACAAAACACTGATGTCCACCCATGAACGCAATATATGGAATATAAGTTAGGATTAAAGAATGCAACATTACTATGTTTAAAAGTACTCAGTTCTTTGAAGAAGCCTCCGCAGCTCCGGTGAGCAGTATATGAGCAGTGAAACACTGTCAATTTTTAAACCTCCACCATCCATTGTCTGAAACTTGTTTATCCAAACAGCAAGAAATTCTAATATCACTACAACTGGACAACTGGAGGAAGCAAACGTAAAACCTGTAGAAGAAGGACCATCCTGTGAATATTGAATATGTAGAAGAATTAGAACAAAGTATCGAGCAGAGATACGTAATCCATACACGTAGCAACGGCAGATTTCAAAGTTTGTGGTCAGCAGATGGTGAAGTTCCCATGGTGTGTTATTGAGCGAAGATCCCCAACAGAGATCAATATCACAAGCATAGCGTGCACCACACCACAAAATAATTTGTGCACCATCGCTAACATAGCTGATGATCCCAAACAGCGTGGTCAGTTCTACAAGTGCCCATGGAAACTATCTAAACCGGCAAGAAATCGAGGTTGTCTGACCATGTGTTCACGGATGCGCCTGACAGAAGACCGATGTTCACCCAAGAACATGATATGTGGAATATAAGTGAAGATTAGGGAATGCAACAGTATTATGATTGAAAGTACTAAGTTTTTTAAGGGAGCCTTCACAGCTTAATGAGTAGTATATATACAGCGCAATACTGTCAACTTCCACTGTAACACGTTTTGGTGTCCTGTCTCGGAAAAACGCCACCTAATAGACAAAAGGGCGTCTAGGGACGGTGTCGCGGCAAAAACGCGACTTTACAAGGCCGTACATGTTCGCAAACCATTGGACGCTATAAAAGGGTTTGTTGGAGACGCCATAAAACATCTTTTATATGTGCCCTTCCTCTCTGTATAATATCTTGCGATATATGCGAAAGCCTCTACTGTAATTTTAAGGTTCCTCTATTGTATGCATATTTTGTCGTGCTACCGCTTTTTTGTTTTGAAACGATAGTAGAAATTCATTGTACTTAGTTAATATTGTTATGTTTTTGCCATTACTATTGCGATCTCTTCTTTGAAGTCATTTTGCCTTATGATTACGTTGCAATAGAATACGGTGCTCTTACTAGTATCCCATGATGTTACTGGTTCCCTCCTTTTCTTGAAGAACGTATACTTATTGTCTTGATGATGTGTTTCGGATAAAGGTTCAAATACCCATGTTTGAGGCACAAGTCCCGTGTGGCAAAACACTCAAATATTGGAAAGGGAGGCCCCACAGAACGAGGAGCCTCCGTTTCATCAAATTCGAAAAATATCATTTTTAGGGAGGATAAGCACGTGAAACCGTGGAGAGAAGTGAGAAATGAACAGCATCTTTAACAGTAGAGTCGCTCGGAAGTCCTCAAAAAAGCAATATCGGAAGTGGTCGATACATTCTAAAGGCTACGGAATCAACTGACAGGCTGTCCCTTCGGGCAGCTAAAATTTGACCTTACTTGTTTTGACTCGATGTTTTGTTAATCGCTACTACTTCGCCGCCCGCAGTTCGTGATCTGAGGATCTAACAATGTTGGCGAGATATGGACAAAATTTCGGCCTCGGACGGGACCCGAACTTGTGGGCACAGTATAGGAGAAGCTTGCAACTTAACCTTTACCGCTGATGTTGGCTGACTGACTCACCTTGCTCTACGTGTGAGAGGTTATAAGTTACGGAATAAAAGCAGGGGCGAAAGGGGTCCCGCTAGTGTAACGAATAAAGACGGACACTTGTGGCACTATCTTGAGGGTTCGGGTAAAGAAAGTACTGGTAAGATATGGTGAAGAAAACTGAAATCCTAAAATGTGACGGAGCTTCTAAGATATTCGATGTTAGGCGAAAATGCATTTTGAAGCATCCCAGTTCATGGAGAGGCTATATTAATCTGGCTATTCCAAAGACGTGATGAGTGATGGTTTGTCATGGTGACCCTACGCTAAGCCTTAATGCCACTGGGCCCCGCGCTTGTCCTATCTGCCGCCCGCACCTTCAAATTGCGCGGACATAAGGATACCCTATTCGTAGGGTGTGTTGCGATTCGTGCGATTCCGGGTGCGCGCGGCAAGTTGCGCGGCGAAATTTGGTGCGATTTGAACGACTGCAGCGTTTATCATTGGGGCCCAAATTTGAAGTAAAGTAAATT